AAAAGTACCAAATGAGGACCAGGTGGCCACACTACAAATCTCTACAGGAGTCCTAGTGGTGAATGTGGCTGAAGCCGCCGCCACACTGGTAGAATGAGCGGTGAACCCTGTGGGCACTCTCAGTCCCAGAACCTCATAGGCCTTATTAATGCAAGCTCTGATCAAGAAGGAAAAGGAAACGCTTTCCCCCAAATTCAAAGTCCCATGAGAAACCAAGAGTCTGAAACTCTGAATCCCGCTGTTCAGTCTATGTAGACCCGGAGGGCTTTCCGAACATGTAGCTTGTGCCATGACTGCTCTCTGGGATGGGATGGGTGGGCCTAGGGCAGAAAGATGGTAAATTATCCAACGGTTTACATGAAAAGAGGAACTGACTTTTGGTATCGATGGCTATGTGCATAAAGCCACAGAATCTCTGTGAAATATATATAGCTCCTTCCTGACAGACAGAACAGCTAACTCAAGACCCGTCTTACAGATGTTATAGCAATGAGGAAGGCGACCTTCCAAGACAGTAATTTTAGATCTATTGACTTCAAGGGCTCAAAGGGATGTTTTACCAGAGCCTGAAGCACTTTAGACCAGAGGTCATTTCCTGCAGGAGCGCACAGGAGCAGAGCTCCAGCAGTAAAGAGCCCAGGGGGCGGGCACATGTAACAAGCCCCACCCCCTGCTCCCAGCAACCCTCAGTCAGAGCAAGAAGCAGCCAGGTAAGTTGCAGAGCTCCCCCCGGCCCAAAACAGTCCAGTGGCACCTTTAAGACCAAGCTTTATTCAGGTACAAGCTCTCCCTCCTCTGGGAGGACAGATCTGCACATTCCCCCCTAGCTAGCAATCCAAAACAGTCCAGTGGAGCCTGAGCGGTGGATGTTGCCTTCTGACAAATTTCCAGTGATGTCAGGGGGTGTGGCATATGCAAATAAGTTACGCTAATGAGTTATGCTAATGAGCTCCTGCGCCTAACTGGGGGTGCTAGCTGTGCCACACAGGTACTCATCTGAAGCAACCTTTGTCATCCCCCCTGCTCCCCCAAACACCACTGTGATTACAGCCTCCTGGCACTTCAGGGTATTTGGTCTGAGACCCTTCTTCCAGCCAACATGCAAGAAAGTGAGAATGTCTTTTTGAGATGGCCTGAATGGCTCTATTTGATGGGCCTTTGTCCCATTTGAGAATGCTGCTCATGTATAATTACATATTGCTGTGGGCGTCTGGCCTGGACCATGATGTCCACAATCTCTGCTGAGAAACCAGACTGAACCAAGTCTGACCTTTCAACTTCCATGCCGTCAGCTTTAACAGTTCGGAGATTTGGATTGAAGATCAGTCCCTGACGCAGGAGGTCTGGTCTTTCCTGCATGGGAGTTTCCATGGCTCGACTGTTGACCTCTGGATCAATTTCGAATACCACGAGGGTCTCAGACGGTTTAGTGCCAGGAAGATAATCTCCACTCTCTCTCTCTGTGGATCTTTGCCAGTGTCCGGCTGATCAATGGTCTTGGGGGAAATACGTATAGCAGCCTTGGAGACCATCCCTGAAGCAGAGCATCTACTCCCTCCATCGCTGGCTCCACAAACCTCAAGAAAAACCTGGGTGCTTCCCAGTTTTTCGATGTCACGAGTCCATGAGCAGTGAACCCAACTTGTGGAATATCTGCCTCAGCCAATCCGTGGTAGAGGTCAGAACCTCTTGGATGTGTTGAGCACATAGTCCTCGACAACATTTCTCTGCCCATTGGCAAATTAACATCGCCTCCCAGTGTTGCTTAGAGGCCTTGGTCCCATGCTGGTAAGTTATGTGTTCCTCAGCGGTTATATTTGTTGCAGAATCTGGGGTTACATGAGCCTGGGCCTTTCTGTTCTTCTATGCTACATAGGTTTTGCTATAACTGACTTTGGTTTCTTGGTTCTGAAGTCCCATAAGCCTTTGCTTTTTTTGCTGGCAGTCAAGGTATAAAACCGAAGGCCTTGCCCTGTAAATACACTTTTTGCCTGAATTCGTATCTGACATTCCCCGTTCTTTAGGTGCCGGGCTTCAAAGCCTAAACATATATTGCTATGGAGATGCCGTAGCTGTCTGGGTCTTGCTGACATTGCAGTTAATAAAATATATCTAGGCAAAAGTCTGCATGGTCAAAGCAATGGTATTCCCAGGAGTCACGTATGGCTGCGAAAGTTGGACTATAAGGAAGGCCAAGTGCCGAAGAATAGATTCTTTTGAACTATGGTGCTGGAGAAGACTCTTGAGAGTCCCTTGGACTGAAAGAAGATCAAATCAGTCAGTCCTAAAAGAAATCAACCCTGACTGTTCCCTGGAAGGCCAGATAATGAAACTGAAGCTCAAATACTTTGGCCACCCAATGAGAAGGGAGCACTCACTGGAGAAGACCCTGATGCTGGGAAAGATTGAAGGTCAAAGAAGACCGGGACGGCAAAGGATGAGATGGTTAGACAGTGTCATAGATGAAATGAACATGAAGTTGAGCAAACTTCAAAGGACGGCGGAAGACATGAAATTGAGCCAACTTCAGAGGACGGCGGAAGACTGGAAGGCCTGGCGTGGTCTGGTCCATGGGGTCGCGAAGAGTCAGACTCGACTGTGCAACTGAACAACAAAAGGCAAAAGTTCACCCTAGCAAAAGCTCATGTTATCACCATACAGTGGGCTGGCCTAGTGCTTTCTGGACTGATGCCCTACAGACTGGAAAAAGTATAAAAATGTGGCTTTGGGTCACGATGGCACCCATAAGGTACGGGTCCATCGGGTTCAACTCTTCCATCACATCCTCAAGTTGCCCTGACAGGTCCCACCCGGTCCCTGGAGGCTCGTCCCTTGTCAGACTCGGGCACTTGACCAACTATACCTGTTGTATTCCTACCCAGTGCATTCATGCTTCCTGTATTCTGTTTGCTCCCTGCACCCAACCATTTGTTATTCCTGTACCCTTATTGCTTGCCCTCGCCTGCCATCGGGGAGTGAGCGGGGGAGTGAGTGCCTGTAGAATTTAGGGAGGCTAGCTTTGGTAACTCTTCCATGGCGCCTCAAAGACATCTTTCACACGGGAAGTGTCCTTGAAGGAGACTCTATGTTTGCTTACTTGTTGACCGTATAACTTTCATGGTCTTTGTAGCATTGTTGACGTGTATGAATGGAATTCTGGGGTCGTGATTATAGGTAGCTTTCCCGCCTTGGCACCTCAGTCCTGACAAAGAGTCTGAACCCATAAGCATCTCAGATCTCTGAATAAACCTTTCACTAAAGAAAGTGCGTGTGGAGAGTGATTTGACAGGGAACCTGACATCCCTGGAGCATGAGAGGAAGCAGGCATGCCTTTCCTGCCAGGTCAATCTGTGGGATCCGCGGGTGGTTTGGAAGCCAAGGATCCTTCTGCTTTCACCGAAGCCTCCGGTGGAGGGAGCTTATCTTTAGGGTGCTCCATGTTCTTTCCAGAACCCACTCCCTGAGTTTTCTTGGAAGAGGAGTCCTCCATAATGGGTATTTTTGTACATGGCTGTGGGATAGGACCGAAGATCGTATGACCTGCTGCAGGGCTATTCACACTGGAAGGATACTCCCTCTACGTCCTGGAAGGCACACAAAAATTTGCACAGCCCTGCCTGGAGAGGGGTGTGGCCTCACCAACATGGATGACTTACCCCGCCCAAGGAGAATAGAAACTCTTGAACGTTTTCAGTCTCTTCATTGTCAACCTTAACAGTCACTACTTTTGTCTTCTTGATGTTCTGCTGTGATCCTGATTTAGCACTTTCTTCTTCAACCTTCTGGAGTAGTTGTCTTCAGCTTTCTGCCAGTAATATGGTGTCATATGCATATCTAAATTTGTTAAATCTTCCACTAATTTTCACCCCACCTTCATCAGAAACCAATCCAGTTTTCCTTATATGTTCTGCATAGAGATGGAAGAGATAAGGAGACAAAATGCATCCTTGTCTGACACCTTTGCCAACTGGAAACCATAATGTTGGAAAGCCATGTGAGGGGAGGACAAATATAGCTGGTGAGGTGACGAAGATGCTCAGTATTTGTGTCGGGGTGTATGTGTGATGTGCAAAAACGGGTATAGTTGAAGGCTGTGATAAAACAGGAGTCTTGAGCCACCTTAAAGACTTCCCAAGATTTTGTGGCATCATTTTATTTTCAAGGCATCTGGACGGCTTCAAGCGGGAATGAGATAAGCATATGGAGCAGAGGTCCATCAGTGGCTATTAGCCACAAGGTATTGCTAGGGGCTCTGGGGCAAGTGATGCTCTGTATTCTTGGTGCTTGGGGGGGTCAACAGTGGGAGGGCTTCTAGTGTCCTGGCCCCACTGCTGGACCTCCTGATGGCACTTGTATTTCTGGCCACTGTGTGATAGTGTTGGACTGGAAGGGCCTTTGGCCTGATCCAACATTGGTGTCTCTTATGTTCTTATGTTCAAAGAGGAAAGAGGACAACTTGTGTGGGGGGGGGGGAGATGGACAGGAAACGTTTCTCTAAGGTGGGAGGCATATTCTAGGTGGATTACACATATGCATCAGTACAGTCGACAGAATGGGACATTCACATTTCTCCCCGCCTACAAATGAAAGGAAGCCATAAATCACGGGTAGGTGGGGGAACACTGTGATGCTGTATTGAAGGATAAGCTTTCTGGAGTTAGCATCAGCAAATCTTACCAGTTTGGGGGTCCACATTACCCCCACAACTTAGTTTTTGCTTCTAAAATTTTTGCAATGTTTGGGACAATGCATGTCTGTGAAAAGCTCTATTCTGTAATAAATGTCCATAAATCAAAAGTACGTTCTCGGCTTACAGATACACACCTAAAAACACCTAAACAGCATAATCAAGATTGCTACAGCACAGACATTGACTCCAGATTTTGATGCAATAATTCAGAGTAAGAGGTGTCCGTTACATGTTAAATAATGGAAATACTATTAACATTTTGAGGACGTTAGTATTTTGGGTAAAAAATATTATCATTAATTGGGCATGCCTTTGTCCTTTCTAAACTTTGTATCTCTGGTACCTGGCACACCTGGCCCAGCCCAACAAAATGACATTTATGTCATATCCGGCCCTTATAAGAAATAAGTTCAAAACCCCTGGGCTAAGAAGGTACATGGCTACTCCTTCTGTGGGTTCTTAGATGCTGCTGAAGATGGCCACGTTGACTGAATCTCTTTCTACACTCTGAACATTCAAAAGGCTTGTCCCCTCTGTGGATTCCTTGATGCTGTCGAAGATGGCCACTCTGACTGAATCTCTTCCCACACTCTGGACATTCAAAAGGCTTCTCCCCTGTGTGGGTTCTTAGATGACTTTGAAGAGTGTCACTCCGACTGAATCTCTTTCCACACTCTGAGCATTCAAAAGGTTTCTCCCCTGTGTGTGTTCTTTGGTGCAGCTGAAGAGTGCCACTGTGACTGAATCTCTTTCCACACTCTGAGCATTCAAAAGGTTTCTCCCCTGTGTGGGTTCTTAGATGCTGTTGCAGATGGCCACTCTGACTGAATCTCTTTCCACAATCTGAGCATTCAAAAGGCTTCTCCCCTGTGTGGGTTCTTTGATGCTTCTGAAGATTGCCAAGCTGAGTGAATCTCCTCCCACACTCTGAGCATTCAAAAGGCTTCTCCCCTGTGTGGGTTCTTAGATGTTTCTGAAGAGTGCTACTGTTATTGAATCTCTTCCTACACTCTGAGCATTCAAAGGGCTTCTCCCCAGTGTGAGATGTTAGGTGATTTTGAAGAGCACCACTGTGACTGAATCTCTTCTCACACTCTAAACATTCAAAAGGCTTCTCCCCTGTGTGGCTTCTCAGATGACTTTGAAGAGCATCAATCCGACTGAATCTCTTTGCACACTCACAGCATTCAAAAGGTTTCTCCCCCGTGTGGGTTCTTTGATGCTGTTGAAGAGTGCCACTGTGACTGAATCTCTTCCCACACTCTGAGCATTCAAAAGGCTTCTCCCTTGTGTGGGTTCTTAGGTGCTGTTGAAGAGCACCACTCCTACTGAATCTCTTACCACACTCTGAGCATTCAAAGGGCTTCTCCCCTGTGTGAGTTCTTAGATGGTTTTGAAGAGCATCACTCCGACTGAATCTCTTTGAACACTCGGAGCATTCAAAAGGCTTCTCCCCTTTGTGGTTTCTTTGATGCTGTTGAAGATTGCTACGCTGACTGAATCTCTTTCCACACTCTGAGCATTCAAAAGGCTTCTCCCCTTTGTGGTTTCTTTGATGCTGTTGAAGATTGCTACGCTGACTGAATCTCTTTCCACACTCTGAGCATTCAAAAGGCTTCTCCCCTTTGTGGTTTCTTTGATGCTGTTGAAGATGGCCACACTGCCTGAATTTCATTCCACACTCAGGGCATTCAAAAGGTTTCTCCCCTCTGTGGATCCTTTGGTGCACAAGGAGCTGTGATCTGTACCTGAAGTACTTTCCACACTGAAAGCATTTATTTGCCTGCATTATAATGAGCTTTGGAAAATGTGTATTACCCTTTCCTCCATCAGAGAACACCATTCCAGTCTCTGAACAGATAAATAGCTTATCTCCTGAGTGAATTCTGTGGTGTTGAACAAGGTCTGATTTCTTTGAGAAACTCTTGCCACAGTCTGAGCAGCTACAAGGTTTCTCCCCTTTATGTGTTCTGTGGTGCCTAAGGAGCTCTGCTCTGGGAATCCTGGTCTTTCCACACTCCAGCCATTGATGGGCCTCCTTTCCAGTAGGCATTCGTAAATGGGCATTATATTGGGATTGATCTGAGACATTCATTCCACACTCCAAGTACTTGTCTTTTTCCTCCACCATGAGAATTACTTCACAGCAATCCCCCCCTTGGCAAGGAATGGGTTTATCCCTCTTCTTCACCATGTGGCTGTCTTTCTGCCTCTTAGATCCAACTTGTTTGTTGAAGTGTCCCCTTATGTTTTCATTTTTGACTTCATCTGGTGACAGATAATGCATTTCCTCATCCTCCACATTCCTCTGATCATCTCCTGCAGGAATAAGGAGAGAAATCCTGTTAGTATCCATGCAAGACCTTCAAGAGAAGAAACTATAAATAAAATGCTTGGAACGGCAGAGGTGGACTAATTAACTTTAATGTTAAGAGGACAAACTGAAGGAAGCGTTGAGAACACATGGTTAAGATTCTTTTTCCCCCCCTCTTTTTTTTTTGGCCCCCCGAAGGGGATTTTTTAATTTATTTTTATAAACACTACAAAATTACAACAGAAGTAAGGTAGGGGAACTACATCTAGGGACAAAGTAAAGATACCCACTATTTACCTAAAAACCCAAGAGAGGAGATCCTGTAATCAGCTTACATATACATCAAGTCTTAATCCCGCTACCTCTCATTACAAACTGAGTCAGCTATATCACTAACTTTTTAAATTCTTAAATTCAACTGTTGCTAAGAAATACCCCCTAGAACACATGGTTAAGATTCTTACAGATAAAATATATCGACATACGACCGATTTAGAAGTGTTATATAAATTAATATCCAGTCAAAAATAGGAGATTGAAGTCAAAATGAGGAGGAAGATCTTGTATTTCATTGCAATCAAACACAGAAAACAGTTAGGCCAAAGGACCCATCAAAATTGACTGCTTTCTGAGCCCATCTTGGAAATACATGAAGTTAAATACTTACTATGACATCCTCATACCATCATCATGAAAATAATATTCAGAAAGCATAATTGGTTACAAAAAATTAAACATTTAAATGGAAATCTCCTTATTGGTCAAATGTAAGAAAGGTGTGTATACAATAAAAAAAGGTAAAGGTTCCCTTGCTCGAAAGCCAGTCGAGTCCGACTCTAGGGTTGCGGTGCTCATCTCCGTTTCAAAGCCGAAGAGCCAGCGCTGTCTGAAGACGTTTCTGTGGTCATGTGGCCGGCGTGACTAAACACCAAGGCGCATGGAACGCTGTTACCTTCCCACCGAAGTGGTCCCTATTTATCTACTTGCAATGTCTTGCTTTCGAACGGCTAGGTTGGCAGGAGCTGGAACTAGAGACAGGAGCTCACTCCGTCATGCGGCACACTCGGGTCTCGAACTGCTGAACTACCGACCTTCCACAGCCTGCAGTTCAGTGTCTTAACCACTTGAGCCACCGCAGCTCCTGTCTATACAATAGTGTCACGGATTTACTTGACCTGACCTGAGTCGTATTGGCTAAGGCTTGTTCTCACCCAAACAAAGGTGTTTTTCTCTGATACTAAGTTAAAAATCCTTTTTGACCCAGACACTATGAAGTTATAACCTAAACAATTAGAACCATAAACCTTATACCTTCTTCTGTACCAAAAGAATGCTACTGTCTTGTCTGTTAACATCAGCTGGAAAAATACCCTAACCAACAAAGAAAGAGAGGCCTTCTATACAACAGGCCTTCATTACATCCCAGTAAAATCTTATTTAAGAATAAATCTATAAAACCCAGAAAAATATGAATAATCAAAAAAGGAGGGAAATCTTTATAGTCCCACCTAGACTACGGAAGCAAATAAGAACTATATTAACCATATGCAAAAGATTTATATAAAAGTACAAGGTGGAACAAGTAAAAATATAATTAGGCATTGTATGAGGTAACTAAATAGACAACTTAACGATGCAATGAAAATCCCCAATTTTTGCATGTATGTTTGTCTTTGTTGTTTGTCTTTTATATTAAAAAATGCCCCCCCCCCCAAAAAAAAGAATCCATGCAAGGAAATCTGGTCTGCAACTAGAGTTCCATCCACACTCCAGGTATTTCAGTGGCTTCTTCCTGCTGTACACAGAAGTGTACAATAATATACACTTTCAGAGTTCATTAAGCCACCTGCATCAGAGATGCTAGGGAAGAGCCAGTTTGGTGTAGTGGTTAAGTGTGCGGACTCTAATCTGGGAGAACCGGGTTTGAGTCCCCACTCTTCCACTTGCACCTGCTGATGTGACCTTGGGTCAGTCACAAGCTCTGGCACAGCTGCCCTTGAAAAAGAGCAGTTCCTGTCAGAGCTCCCTCAGCCCCACCCACCTCACAGGGTATCTGTTGTGGGGGGGGGGAAGGGAAAGGAGTGTGTAAACCGCCCCGAGACTCCAAGTGAAGGGCGGGGTATAAATCCAATCTCTTCTCTTCTCTTCTTCAACTCTGAACACTTATATGGCTCCCCACCTGTGTGACTTCTTTGATGTGAAGTCATGGCTCTTCTCCAACTGAAGCTCTTTTCGCACTACCAAACAATTATACCATTTCTCTCCTGATGGAATTTGCATCTGCTAACTGATGTTCATTCTCTGACTGAAGGTCTTTGCAAAGGCGACACTTTCATTTTCATTTTTTCTAGAGTGGATTTTCTGATTAGGATGGAGGCCTCCATTCCTTCTTTTTTGACTGACCTAGGACTGGGATTTCACGGAAACCCCCTCCTTGACAAGGAACTGACTTTTACTTTCTCTTACCTGCATGGCTTTCCTCCTGCCTCTGTGATCCATCTCCGAAGTTTCCTTTGGCACTCTCATTCTTGGCTTTTTCCAAAGAGAACCCTTGGAATTTCTCAGCTGCCTCCTCTACATCTGCTGCTGGAATAAAGAAAGAGTTTCAATCAGCACCCCTGCAAGAAGCCAAGCCATGAGTCAGGTACGCTTCAATGTTCCCTCTAAGCTGTGGAGTCTTGTGAGCAAAAATTCTACTTTGTGAGCTACCGGCATTAAAGTTGTGAGCAAGTGATTTGGCTACTGCATACATTAGTTTGCTCTGGAGCCATCCTTCCTGAGCTGAGACAAAAATGTGTGAGCCAGAGGCTAAAAAACTGTGAGCTAACTCACATTAACTCAGCTTAGAGGGAACACTGCTCTTCATTATTGGGTATGCATTTCTGTTATCAGATCTTCTTTCCTCCCTGTGGTGGAATGGGCCCACTTGGGCCCGCAGGCCCTGTCCCATCCTGCCCTCCAAGGTATTCCCAACACCGGCTTTTCTTTTTCTCTTGGGTAACCCACTGCCATCACCTGACCTTTTTAAGGAATTACCCACTGGGAGGGTCAGGACTCCCAGCATCCCTTCCAAGTTCTGAAGCCTTGCCTCTGTGTCTCCCACTGCCCAGTGCCTGGTTAACACGGGGACAGTTTACTGCCTTGTACGCCCCTTGAGGAATAGCCACTTGCCAACTACCTGCCTTCCCTCTGGCGCCCCTTTTAAAATAGCGTGTCCGAGACAGTGGAGGTCTGTGTGGTACAGAGAACTACTACCAGCATCAGAAGTTATAAAGCATTTATTAAAGAGAAAATGTTCAGAAGCATACTTTTAGCACAGCACCAGATTGAGCAAGGGTTTCAAAAGAAATGGGTAAAACACAATTCCTCTGTCCCTCCCTCTATACGTGCTCTATCTGATGTTAAAATATAGGACAGGCTCCTTAGCTTGGAACACTATAGATCTCTACAGAGTTTCCATTACCTTGCAGCTTCCTCCAGCTATTCAGGCTCACACATGGTTAATGGCTGCCTCCTCCAGACCTCAGTTAAGAGTTCTGTCTGCTCTGATGGACTCAGCACAAAAGAGAGCTTCTTTCTTGCTTCCCTGAGTTTTATCACTGCTTTTTCCCCCGCCCACAGACCAGGTCAGAAAAGCTTTTCCTGAAGTCTCCAGAATTTACTTCTTGAAGTCTGTCTAGTATTTAATTCCTCCAAATCTCTGTTCCCTGCTTGAAGGGGGGGGGCATGACTAGAGATGTGAAGGCCCGAAAAAAAAACGGAAAAATTCGGGAAAAAAACGGGTTTTTTCCGTTTTTTTCCTGAAGCCTTTTTTGTTTTTTTCCGAAAAATTGAGAAAAGAAAAGAAAAGAAATTGATTATGGAATGTTTTATTTTAACATGATGAATAAAATATTTTAAGACAAGGTGTTCAAATATTTTCCAAATCATTTCTAAAATATATATATGGTATCTGATTGATCTAATTTCTGTGCACTGAGGACAAGCAAGTCCTAGGTTACAAACTGAACTCTCCAATGCAAGAACAAGATGCATTTCTTCCTTTAGGAGGTGCGATTGTCAGAAGAAAA